ATTCTTTTTTGATGCATCAACATAATTATCATAAACAAATATGTCAATATCGTAATTTGGAAATTTTTTGTCTGTCCGCACATGTGATGCATGATTACATAACTGTTTTGAACAACAAAACTGATAAATATAGTAAATACGATAATACAGACTCATGGTAAGTTATTTGTATGATTAGCTGGTATAAATTAATTGTCTGAGTAACTTATTTATATACTTTAAAGTACTTTGTAAGAACATAATGGTTTACTAACAAAAGCTATTTATAATGCTCCGGACTTATATCAGTTCCTGATTTCTAGTGATATTAAAAAATAGCAGGGGTTCTTTATATGAATAATATATTGAACTCCCTAAATTTTTATAACAATAAGATTTATTTAGAAAAAGATAGAATTATCAGAGATACTTAGCAAAAATATTACTATAATGAATTAAAATTTTATTTTTTATATTATTGTAAATAATATCTTTATTTTTTTAGTAAATTATTCAAATATACATAGTTGATTAGTAATTCTCTATTCATTTTGGTAACAATATCTAATTTTAATATATTTATTAATTTCTTTTGATTATTTTATAACTTATACTAAAATAGTAATAATAATGAGTAGCTTAATAGCTTAGTTGCATGAAAATTAAATAAATCATATAAATACTATATTTATGTGATTATACAAAGACTATACTTTATAACTTTTTAGTATATATATTATTTTTATAATATATATATTTAAATTTTCACATTTATATTATATTTTTAGTATAAATACCACAATTGTAATATTTATGTTACTGAAAATTAAAATATATATAAAGCCCATGAATTAAATAAATGAAAGAACAGTTAGTAAAAGTTATAGTTACAGTTAGTTAGTGAGAGTTAGTACATGTCTACTTTCTATTATCACTAAATAATAAAATATATACTTATTTAAATTTTTTTTTAAAACTTTGTCTTTGAATTCGACTTGTAACTTTAATAAATACTTTTGAGACTCAATTCAATAGACTGAATTAACTTGTAACTTTGATTTGGCTTATTAAGACTCAGATTCTAGAATAGTTGTAGAATTAGATATTGCTATTGTAGTAGAGAATGATACTTACAACTAGTTATTTGACCTTGCTAATCACTCACATAGACTTAAAGTTATCATCAACATTACTTGATTATTGTCTGCTTTTACCTCATCACTATTCTTGTTAAGATTTCCTTAACAACATCACCTGTAGTTGCATTGCTTTATTATTACACTATTACTATTGAAACCTTCATTCTATAGGATTATCTTGTCTAATAGACCTCCAACAGTTATAAAAGACTTTGTTTCTTCAGGTTTATCATTATCTCTCTATACACCATTGGAGTTAAATTGGCCTTCATTTATATAATTTCATTAAGCTCTCCCATCAATGGTTACACTACTCTAACTTCTTTAAACCTTGTCCATAACTTGGACAAGAAGAAAAATTGTTAATAAAAGCTCTTTGTAAAAACAGTACATTAAATTCTTTAGATCTTTGTAATAATTAGATTGATTTTAAAAAAAAAAGAATTAGTAGAAGCTCTTTGTAACAATACTACATTAACTTTATTGAATCTTAGTACTAACCAACTTGGCTCTAAAGAAGGAAATGTATCAGCAAGAGCTCTTTGCAATAACATTTTCTGACATCCTTAAATCTTGGTTATAATCAACTTGGTCCTCAATAAGAAAAAGTATTAGTAGAAGCTTTTTATGAAACAATGTTTTAAGATCTTTAGATCTTTGTAATAATCATATTACTGTATTATTTTTGAAGAGGATATAACGATGTTAAAAATTTTTCAAAAAAACACTATACAAACTTCTTTAAATCTTGGCTTTAATCAATTTGGCTCTTGAGAAAGAAAAGCATTAGCAGCAATTTTTCACATAAAATACTATTTTACTTTCTTGAATCTTTACTCAAATAGCCTTGGCCCTGAAGGAGGAAAAGTGTAGGCGGGCGCTTTGTGAAAATATTGCTTTAAGGCCTTTAGATATTTGCAATAATCAGATAGATCCTGGGGAACAGAATGAATTAGCAAAGGCTCCTTACAAGAATGCTACTCTGACTTTTTTAAACCTTGATTTTAACAAATTTGGCCCTGAAAAAGAAAAAGTGTTAGCGGAAGCCCTTTGTAAAAACAATATATTGGCTTCTTTAGATTTTGTAACAATCAAATTGATCCCGAGGAAGGAAAAGCATTTGCAAACACCCTTCGAGAAAACACTACTCTAACTTTTTTAAATCTTTTAATAATCAAATTGATTTGGAGGGAGGAAAAGCATTAGCAGAGGTTCTCTACAATACTGCAATATCACTACCCTTATGTATTTAAATCTTGGTTCAAAAAAGTAGGTGATGTAGGAGGAAAAGCGTTAGTGAAAGCACTTTGCAACAACACCAGATTAACTTCTTTGGCCTTTTTAGCAATAAAATTGATGATGTAAATGGGGAAACACTACCAAAGGCTCTTTGTAAAAATTTTGATATTAGAAACAACCAGATTAGTCAGAGGGTTTTGATAAATTGAATGGGCCTTTCACCAAAAGAGATATAGTGATTACTATAGTCAGGGCTAGGTTGTCTGCACTGTAAAATAATTATGATTTTAACCTTTGTAAAATAATTAAGATTCTTTAGAATTCATGAACTTTTCAAATGGATAAAATTTTTCACAAGTTTTATTACTTTATTAAATGTTGACCAAATCGCAAAATCTACTACAAATTAATTTGCTTTGCAAAAAAGATGTGGCCTCCAGTATATAAAATTGAACGAACGCTTAAGTTAATTGCGCATGTATATTTTGTTTCCGTATATAAAATTTAAAGATTTATATAGATAACGCATATAAAATTTCATTTAGCGAACACTTGAACTTTATACACTGATGGCCTTTGCAGATCATAAGTCACGTAAGAACCGGTGATTCTATAGACTTACCAATTTCAAAGAAATATAAATGATCAAAAATAAAGATGGGCGATTGTCAATTGTCAATACTTATTATTACTTATCATTAAGAAATCTTACTACTAAATTTCTTTAGCAATCTATTACTTATCATTATTAACCCGGAGCAAGAATTATGATTTTCTGCTGCAACTAATACTAAATTCTGTATGTGGTTAAAAAAAATTTAAAAGACCTACGTAGCTGCCACACCAAATTTGTCATAGCAGATTCTCGATTTTGATTGGCTAATAGCCGTTATCTACAAAATTTTGGCCCGCATTACATAGTTGTCTACATAATTTTTGGCCGAAATTAATTTTTTAACTTTTTTGTGCTGAAAATAGAAATTTTTAGAGAAATAGGCCCACACAGCAATAAAACTAGAAAAACGGGATCCGTTGGGTTCCAGAGCACCGCTTCGTATTTTGCAAAAAAATTTACTAATTCACAAAATATTAATAAAGAGAATGTAAAAAATTTTAACTTTGAAAATTAGTTTTTAGATACAATTTAGTGCTGTAAATAAAGTCAATATGTGCAATTATATCAAGATTATTTACATAAAAGAATTGTTTCCCACTTAATAGATCACAAAAATTTAAGTTATAATATTAATAAATTTCAAAGCGGTTATATAAAGAAAATACATATAACAGTTTAAAATTAAAAAAGTATACTAGATTAGAGAACAAATTAATTAAATTTATATGGTCTTATTAAGTGCAAAATTAATTAAAACTTGTGTTTATATTTATAAGTCATTTTTCTTCTAGTATTCGTCCTTGCATCCTTGAGCTTTTTTTAATATGTTGAAGTCTTTCAAAAGTAAAGGGATCAAAGATTAGATCATTAATAGAGCGAACTCATGATATTGCTACGAATGAGAGACAAGCAGCAAACTCTCTTTCTCCAAGATTTACCATGGCTTTAGGGAGAGTTAGACCTTGAGATTTGTGTACTGTAATTGCCCATGTAAATATTAGAGGAACTTGTAAACGTGAGCACGTAGCAAATTTTCTATCCCAAGTTCTTCTAATAGGAGCTATTGGAACAACTTGTATACCTTTTGGCGTAGTGATTGTAGGGCCATGATAGTCATCAAATGCAACTAGAATTGAATTTGGAAGTGAAGGTGGCCCATGACCTTCATCAAACAAAATATCTATAATTTTTCCCATAGCGCCATTTACAAGTCCAGCAGAAGTCCAGAGATTTGTAGTTAACATAACATGTACTCCTCTGGCAAGTAAAAGTTCAGCTTCAAGGCCTTTGGCAACATCAGAATCAGCTTTTGGAGCCTCACGATTATCACTATGGACAGCATATATTTTAGCAACAGGTTGATTTAATGATTGTAGTTTTTTAAGGTTAATCTTATTAGCAGCATCCTATGCAGGTAAAACATAGGTAGCATTAGAGAAGGCTTCCTGTTCTTCTATAGTCAATTTTTCAGGTAACCTTTCCATTAACATCTCCCAGTCTAAAATTGTGGATTCATCATCACGAAGACGTAATAAAAGAGATCTAAATTGACACTGTTTCTCAAAATTGCCAGCTTGGTGTTGTACAATATCTAGTTTATAAACCTCACGAAATTGAGTATAGACTATGCGTCTATCTTCAGATAAGGTATCAGATGAACGGGAATCTTGTGCATATATAGGAAGATCACAGACTGGTAGAAGTTGTCCAAAGTCTCCAACAAATATGACAGAACGATCCCCAAATAGAATGTTTTGATAATCAGGAAATGCTTGACGCAATCTTAAATCTATTAAAGCAAGAGTACGTCATCCTACCATGCTCATTTCATTGATAATAAAATAATTTACCCACTGTAGTTTATTTTGTAAACATTTCAAACTTTCGCCTGCTATGTCAAAATCTTTTGCATTAACCAGAATTGATTATGCAGAATGAATAGTGCTTCCATAAATATTAAAAGCAGCAACACCAGTAGGTGCAAGCACGAGAATTGGTTGGTAAGATTGTTTTTATTTTTAATTTCATTAAACCTATACCGAATAGCCTTAATAAGATAAAACTTTCCAGTACCAGCTGTACCCATAATAATAATTCGTAACGGATCTATATTTTTTCCTGAGATTTTAGCAATGTAATTACGTTCTAATCTTTCAAGAATTTTCTTTTGATTCTCATTTAAAGATTTAATATCAATATTATAGTTATCAATTTCATCGTTTGTAGTATTTTCATTATATGCCTGCTGAATAAAGGTACTTGCATCTGTAAGAGTAGGATATCAATTTCTACTTTCTCTAATCCAGTTATAATTTAGGTCAGTACTACGTGAACTAAGATTTAAAGAATTACTTATTTGTGTGTTGGGACCTGTCTTTGACAATATCATCTAGTCAGATCTTGTGTCTTCAACATCTTCTTTATCAAGTTGATATTTATCATCAACATCTTCTTCTTCAATGGTATCTATAGCTAATCCAAGTATATCAGGAGAATCAGCTTCGATTTCTTGTAAATGACAATTATAGAGTTCTGTTCATGAAAGAGTTTTATTCTCTGTGAGATGTATGATGCTTCTATGACAGACATGCAAAAGAACTTTTATTCGACAAAATTCTTTCCAGCAAGGTCCATTTCACAATGGAGAAGAACGAGACCAGATACGAACAATATTGTCTTTTGTGCAGTGTTTCCATCTCTTTCCTATATATGCGTATTTTAAATATAATTGAAAAAGTGAAAGTTCTTCGAGTTCAATAGGTCAAATCCAATTCAACTGCAAGGGTGAAAATCTAGTTTTTATATTATTCACTCCATCATGACTATTATTATAGTTATCATTATCTTCACTATTATTAACACATCTTAGAGCTTCCTTATTAAGGTTTAAAGTTACAAACTTCTGACTACAATGGTATAGAGGAATTCCAAGTAGAAGATAACAGGTTTCCTGAGCTGAAAAGTCACGTTCAGCTACTGTATAAAGAAGCAGTTTTTGAAAAAACTTAACAGACGGGTCATTAGGTTCACTATGGCAAAGAACTCTGTTCAATATTTCAGAAAATGATGCTGACCAAGGCTCTGATTTACTTGTATACTTAGATACATATTTCAGTGCAGCATATGTAGTAAGTATAGGTTTTAGATCTACATTTGCTCTCCATCCTTGAAGCTGAAGATGATCATATAGATTTATATAAGGGTCATTTCTGGCAGTTAATAATTCTAGTTGACCATGACTATTATCTTGTATAATAGTTTTGTCTCTTAATTCTTTGGGAAACCCAAATCTACAAACTTGCTGACCTGTTTGTTTATTAATCTTTAAACAATGTGATGTGCTATATCGTGTATGTCATTGAAGTTTGTTGACTAATTCAATATAGTCTTGCAAATCATCATTATAGTGTTCTATACATTTTTGATATGGGTGATTATGTGGTATTGGTGCATCTATATCTGGATTGATAGTAGTTATTAAAGAATCCATATAATGCAAAATATTTTACATTAATCTTTCATCATCTTTTATTTTATTCCATTCAACCATTGGAGCATCAGCTCTAATTCTAATTCTATGAATATGTGCACTACCACGATGCTGCCACTCAAAGCGAAACCACCAATCTACTAAGTTCCATTTTGAACCAAAACTTTTTTAAAAAAAATATTAAATCTTTTATCAAAGAACCATGCAGCTATATGTGGATTATTAATTAAATCCTGGTATCGATGTTTAGCAGCATCTTTACTAGTTTCACACTCTATTGAATTTTCACCATGTGGCATGAGATTATGTAATTCAGGCCAGTGTGTATTAGCAGAACTAAAAGTAAAAAATATCATTTCTTTAGACTCTAATTGACTTATCATATCTAATAATTCACAGCCATGTCGCATCCAATATTGACGAGTACCATGTAATACTTCTCTATATCGTATCACACGATTTGCCAAATTATCGTTAGATTGTAATAACTCTTGGATCTCTATAGCTGTAAATTGACTTTCTTCTAAGTTTTGCTGAACAAATACATGTCCAGACTGCAATGCTCACCATCGCATTTGGGAATTTAAAGCAAAATAACGCCAACGTGAATGGTGAGCAAAACGGCCATCTTTATATTTTAGTAGATGCTGAAAATATTCAGCTGGTTGTACTTTTTTTATTTGAGGTGCATATAAATCAGCAATTCCCCAAGAATAAAGTGTGAGAAATGCATACACTATATAACCTGGAGTATTGAATTCATCAATTGGAGTATGTTCAATATTAGGCCATTCGATTATTGGAAACTAATAGTTATTTTATAAATTATTCAGAGCCTTATAAATTTCGCAGTTTTCATAGCATTTGGAAGGTGGAATAGGAATAAAGGTACGTGAAATAGTATTTTTTTCATAAGTTTCATTATCTTCACATAATTCTTTTTTATTAATTGAATTATTATTTGGAATTTGTGGAAGTTGTTCGATTATTGAGCCATTTTCAGGTAATGTTTGGAGTATATCTTCAGCAATATCAATATTGTGATAAAAAATATTATTGGCTTTCAGCCAACAGAGAGCTTGATATATTTTTTCTCGTTGAACTTGGAAATCTTGAAATGCTGATTCATTAAAAGATGGCCGTCGTATAATAAATGTGTCTAATGTTGATGGATGATGTGGAAGACGAGTTATAAAACCTTGTATATCTTGAGGGAAATTAATAACATTTCCTCAATAAGCATACTGTTCCCCATGAAGATTATAGACTGATACAATAGGAAAAAACTTGTGCGATTAACATCTCTTCAATATAGGTAAGATTCTGGAGTTCTGGAGGTACATCTCCTAAAAAAAGATTATTTATAAACTATTTATTTACCTAATAAAATCTAAATTTAATAGTTTACCTGGGTTCATGTTATTTTTAGCTAAAAATTTTTTTGGAATATCCTTTTCCATATAACATCTATGGCATTCACCTTGATAAAGAATAATTGATAGAAATCGTTTATTATACGTTGGACAATGTTCATTTTTGATATTAGTCATTTTTTTGTGAAAAGTGTTTAAAAGTTTTTTGTCAGACTCTGAAAGTTGAGATTGGATAGGTCTCACATTTTCTTTCCCTCTACTTGTAGATTCACTGTTAATATTTTCATTATCAGTATTTGTCTCTAGCCGTTGTTGGTGATTTTGCTCAATAAGCGCTTTTTGTTCTTTGGCTATTTCAACATCCTTTCTCTTACATTTTGATCACGATCATGTGCAAAACGTTCCTCTCATTCTTCATTAGTTTCTGCATCCAATTTCCTTTGCCACTAGTTACGTCTACGTTCAAGGCGTGCATCTCTCTTTATTTTCTATTGGTTACGTCTACGTTCAAGTCGTATTTCTCGTTCCTTAGCTGTTTCTATAACTCTTTTCTTTCGTTTTCTATCCTGGTCATGTGCAAATACATCTTTTTCAACATTGCTATCTTCGACATTCATTTTTATAAATTAGCAATTGATAAAAGAAAAAAAATTTTATATTTGATTTATCATTCATAAATAATATTTATTATTATAATTAATTTATTTAAACTACTACACATTCGAGTTTATTTTATTAAGAGCGATTAAAATTTATACGTAAAATACAATATATTACAATGTATCTAACAAAATAACTACTACATCGGAGTTAAATTTAATGAACGATAAACAATACAGTAAATTTCTAAGTAATTGTAAAAAATAAATTTAAAGAGCGATGTCATATCTGCTAAATAGCAATAAC